GACAGGTGACAATCCTAGCCATTTTCCTACTTAACTGAGATATTTATTTCGATTTTTTCAAAATTGAATAATTGCATGAAAGAATGTCTGAGTGCAATACTTATACTTTCGAACAGTGACCCTGTTTTGAATTTTCTTAATTTGTAAACTATTTAAAGAAGCAAACATTAATGCATTTTGGCCTTTGAGTATAGTTCCAGTTAACAATCAGACCTTAAAAATAGTTCCAGTCCTTTTCAGCCAAATTGCCCCCCTATGTTGTCATTTCTTTCTAAGTTTCTACAAAATCAAAACACAAAATTATGGTTCAGAAATATCTACTGCTACCAGAGTAGAGACACAACATGCATGCTGCAGCGGTAAGAAAACATTTGAGCAGGAAAGCCTGCTTGACTATTAATTTAGAATTCAACGGAGGTCGCACAAAACTAGAGCGAGATCATTTGCTGCACCGCTAAGACGAGCGGTAGTACTGGAACTCAGTACCTGAGACACTGATTGCTTTATTTCTTAGATTCTAAAGGGTTCCGACAATGGTGGATGACACACAGAATTACTGGGGTTTTGCACTTCTTTCATCGTCCGGAATTTTAGGTAATAGAGGACACGACGTTTCGGAAACTGGATCGGTTTCCGTCTTCAGGTGAGAAAGGAAGACATCTAACCATTTGGGCCCCTTAGAAAGAGATAAACTCGATCACTGGATTAGCTCTTTCTAAGGGGCCCAAATGATTAGATGTCTTCCTTTCTCACCTGAAGACGGAAACAGATCCAGTTTCCGAAACGTCGTGTCCTCGATTACCTAAAATTCCGGACGATGGAAAAAGTGCAAAAGCCCAGTAATTCTGTGCTTTATTTCTCATTAGAACTCTATAAGGTTTACCTGCTATTCGTGTGCGGAAGAAGAACCCATTCCTAGGAATCTATCTTGTGGGATGTGATTCCATATAATTCATTCAAAATCAACTGACGTTTCGGAAAAGCATATCGCTTCCATCTTGAATGTTCCAAAATAACCCAAGCAGGAAAGCAGCATGAAAGAGCCTGAAGATAGAGGCGACATGTTCCTCCGAAATGTTGGTTGATTTTCAACGGACTACACGGGGATATAACCCCATATCCCATATCTCATAATCACAGCTGTGGGAACTTCATATCCTAAACACATTTCTACTTCATTGAGTAGGGTTTCTTTCTTTTTAGCCGATAAAGAATGTTGCAGTTCTGTGTGTACTCATATGTGAGTCGGTTTGTATTCGAGATATGGCGTCTGCTCATTCACAGGCGGCTCTTAGCTGCTATCATGGCATGAAACGGATATCATTATAAAGATTTTACTTGATTTTTTCATTCATTCAGAACATATTACCACCGATCACAGTGGCCGCGCTGTCTAAGGCATGATATTTCTTCTCTCGCTCGAGCTCTGGTGTTGTGGGTTCGAATACCACTCGAGGCATGAATGTCTGTGTGCGTTTATTCTGTGTTTGTGTTGTTCTGTGTATGGATAGCGGCCTTGCAATGGGCTCACCCTCCGTCCAAGGAGTTCAACCGACTGTGTATAGGATTAAGAAACTGAAAATAGTGGCCAATGTCCAACAAAAGGTCTGTAGAACCATAGGCAGATAGTATTAATATTTTCACGAATGAGGGGTGTGCGTGGCGAATATAACGGGTTCTGGATGGGATGATTGGATTTATTTGCACTTCTTTTACAATGACAGTCAATCAAACAGTGAACAATCAATGACTGAGGCTCGCTCCATTCCTTACTGGACTGCGAGTGTCTTCTCATCCACTGTGACTGACTTGGTTTTGATTTATGAATCGGTCACTTCTTCTACTACGACTGCCTTGAACGACGATTTTCTTACAAATAAATCGTTCAGAGTCACATTGCGACTGGCAGTCAGTCAGTCAGTCAGTAAGTGTTGGTGTCAAGCCCCATCTGGGGCTCATGACTAGATATATATACGTAATACTGTTTGACCGTTACGGTCTTGCTTTGGTGGGGTGCCCTCTCTGACGAGGGGACGGGTCTGTCTTTTTATATACTGCTGGCCCTTGTCAGCACACTCTTTCTCGGGTCTCAGTACCTCAGGACTCCCGACCATATTTCACTCTTTCAGATTTGAGGCTTATTTCCCCTTCATCGCCTCCTACCACTCGCAGGGTCACGGTTGAGGTATTCGACCCCGCCTCCACACAGGTAGAACAAATCGTCTTTCCCTGCACTGCTCCTTATACAGTCTACCGCGTATCCACGGGAAATGTTTGTTGCTTGCGCGTATTCATGGAAGTTATTTGTTGATTCTGTTGACATGGAAAGCGAGTTCCGTACAAAGTCGGACTCCACGAACCCACATCTCCACAGAGCGCGTGTTAGCGAGCCGTTGTCCAGCAATTAACTATTCCGGCTTTGAGGGGTAATGTCACAACATAGTCCAGGTAGTTCTAGTTATGTTTTAGCAACTTCTGTATACCGTCCAAAAGTATCAAGAGGAAATGTTGTTCCTTTCAATAATTAGCGCTGCTCTCAGAAATAAATTAGGTTTATATCGTTGTTATGAAGCTACAAGTATATAGGCGTATCGGATATGTTAGCTGTTAATGAACACGCTTAGAAATCCGATGACTGCGTGTGTATAAAGACTTGTTCAGGCACAAATGAGAGAGACATCTGTTCTGACATCTGTCATCTGCCCTCCTTTTACAGGAAATCAATCAGAGCGGCAGAGGCGTCGCAGTGTGTTCAGCCCCCTTCCACTTATATTACACACAGCTCTGAGGACATACTTCAAACCTCTTCTTTCCTTCCTCTCCCACCTATCCATAGACGAACCATAAATGCACTGGACTTCAAGTGAAACCGGTGAACAGAAATATCCAACTGAAAGGCATTTTATTGTGTTGCATTGTGTTGACGAAAAGTTTTCACGTTCGTTGCAGGAGTTTTTGATCGATTGAAGCAAACGCCTGCGTTATCAATATTTTCCTTTAAGGATCTTCCTTTGTTACAGATAGTCACAGTTTCTATCACAGAGTTTAGTACATCGGGTGTTCTTTTATACACGACACGGTTCCCTGGGGTGTTCCGCGCCTTCCTTTGTTGCGAGATGATCTGAAAGATTCTTGCAGAGTATTCCGAACTTTATATGCTTAACTTCTTTTTATTTCGTATTTAAAGAATTGATTTGGGGATATATCAGCTGGTATAGGGACAGACTACGAACTGGACGTTTGGGGTTCGATTCTCAGCAGGAACAAGACATTTTTCTCTACTCCACAGAGTCAAGACCAGCTCTGGGGTCCGTCCAGCCTCCTATCCAGTGGGCGCTGGGGGTGAGTGGTCAGCTTCACGCTCCGGCGAGCGTGAAGCTGACCACTCACATCCATCTAATGCCGAGGTCAAGAAAGGTGAAACTATACTTCCATTCTCCCATACGTCTTCATAGCGTGGTACTTAATTAATTAAGCACAGGGACAAATTTATGTGTTATATATGAATGTTATAGACCGCAGATGGTCGAATTTCCGGAGTCTCAGTAGGAATAAAATCTTGTTGAAGGATACAATGTTGGCAGTCCTCAATTCCCAACCATCAGAAATGTTATTACGATTGTAGTGCGAAATCATTATAAACACTTCTGGTGTTCTTGTGTTGTCACGAGGAAAATGTGCATATTTCAAGAAAGTATTTTTGAAAAATAAATATCATTGGAATCTTGCAATTTTTTTTAACCAGGAGAATCATTGTTATCTCAAACTTTAAATCGTTGACATGAACAACTATTTCAATTTGTGTTTGGAATTTATTTGTTCTCGTTTCTTTAAAAGTTATGCATGTAAAATTATATTACCCTAAAAGGCGCTTCTGTTTTGAAAGTTGTTTAATTTCATATATATGGCCTGGAGATGATTAATGTTAAAATCTGTTTTTTTTTCTTCGACGCCACATCCCAAATTTGGGCCTTTGCCTGCCTCCATGAAACTTTCCGTTTCACTTCTGTTTACTTGAGTTTAGACATTCGGTAGGACTCCTTCGGCGGGTGATCAGCTCGTCACAAGATCTCTACCTGTACCTCTGATTATGCCGGTCACGATAGCCGAGCGGTCTAAGGCATGCACATTCTTCGCTCGCTTGGAAGCCGGAATCGAGGGTTCGAATCCCACACAAGGCATGAATGTTTGGTATGTGTATATGTTTATTCTGTGTTTGTGTTGTTCTGTGTTTAGGTAGAGGCCTTGCGAGGAGCTGATCACCCGTCCAAGGAGTCCTACCGTCTGTAAAATGACCAAAATGAAAAGAAAAAACCTCGACACCGTAGGGCAAAAGAAGAACGGTTTAAGTAAGTAAGTAAGTAAGTAAGTAAGTAAGTAATCTGCTTGTGTAAGCCTATCAACTGCAGAGACTATTTAGCACCATGTGAATGGAGAAGATTATTAGTACATATACATACAGCTTTCATACATAATGGTCGGTCAGAAAAAAAAAACGAATCTAGTATGTCACTGTTGAAATATACGTCTGGAGAGTTAGAAGTACAGATCGTGAAACCAAGTAAAAATAGGCAAAATTCATTTGACGCTTGATGAAGGACCTTAGAAATGCTGTTAGAGAGCCGAAGAATTGCTAGACTGGAGAAATTGTCGCATCCAGTTGTACGAATTCCACAGAAAATAGCCTCAGATAAGCTTTTCCCCCTCAAGTGAAGGGTCACTGCGCCTTTTAGTATTCACATGAAAGAACATGAACTGAGACATAAATGCTTTTGTGAGTTGTTACTTACCGAACTCGGTTAATTCACAGAACAATACGTGTGAAAGAGAATGAAAGGGAGAGTAGGAGAGAGCGTGGAGTCTGCGCCCGAGTTCGCAGTCCGTTCACGAGATGGCAGTCAGAGCATGGGGTCCCCGATTTGACTCCGGAAGACGGTTGTTTCCGCGCAGAAGCCAAGCAGCCCAGCGGGTTGCCTGTGTGAGTGGAGCAGTTAGGGGGAGGGCGGGCTGATAGCACACAGCGCAGTAGTAGAATAGTAGGAGCGCTACGGGAGTGTTTACAAGTCCAATAAAACTCCATTTGTCTTACCCGCAGACTCTCCTTGTCTCCTGCTCGTGCATCGCCTGTCAGTTATCTGACAGCACCAGAGACCCATAGACCTGGAAACTAAGCCGCAGCACCGGGTTAAGAGGGCAAGATCTGCAAAGCGAGTTATGGAACAAGCCGAACAGCGTCTGCAGGAAATCTTGGGACGTGCAGAGAAGTTGGGTGTTCCTCCAAGGGGGTTGGTTCGTCTTGGGGCGGTCAAGAAACTTCTGGCTAAACGTCAGCAGTCGTCACAACACGCCTTCCTCCCCGTGCTCGCCGGGATCCTCAGCGCTACCCTTGCCCTTGTCTACTCCTTGGGGCTGCATACTCATTATGGATTCTCTCGTGCATGGCTGAAGTGGCACCAGCTGGACGTCTACGACCAAGTGGTGAGTTCATTTGTGTCCTGATCTATTTATTTTAATTTTCCTTGTGTGTGTGAGGTAAGCGTATAGCAAATGAACCTTTGTGCAAGAAATAATCTTCCGTGGCCCACCACATGTTTGCGCTGAATATAATTTAAATTTTAACATTTCTTCTGAATTATTAATTGTCTTAGTATATATTGTCGCGACCTTCTCATTTCAACACGTGACAGACGAAATGGTATTTTGTTTTCATTCTTACTAAGTCTGGACTAAATAAGTGTGACATATCCATCCCTATATAATATAAAAGTGAGAAATTAATTATTTACGAATTTTAGTGTCATTTCATAACTTAATCAGAATTAAGACATCATTTAAGAACTTTACATAAAAAAGTTCGGACATGTGACTTTATTCTTTATAGACCCACTTAAAGTTATTGTTCTGAAAGTGATAAAATATTCCCGTTACGTTTTATATTAAAGAAATATGATAAATCTTTCAAATTGTAATGATGCATAATAATCTATTGGCCAAAAAAAAAAACACGTATGTGTACATATGTGTGTATATGCCTATGTAGGCTTGTGTATGCATGAACTTGATAGATTGGTTTGATACCCCTTTATTATATTGCGTAAGTTACTACCTCGCTTTGTCTGCATATGATTCTGTCTGGGTCCCACTTATGCTGTGTTCAATAGCAGACATAATAATAAAGTATGGAGCGTACATTAATTGACTCACGTCATCGACTACATCCTAAAATGATTACAAAGACGCTATTCTAAGTGAACCCCTTTAATACATTCACATATACGACTTCGTATATAACAACCATTTATAAAGACGCACTTGTGGCAGGACATTGGTGCTGCCTTTGTAGCGCTAAGTGCTTCTGTCGCTCACCTACTGGCTGTAGATATCAGAAAGCGACAGCTCAGCGCACGTGGTCATGTGGCCCGTCTGCTGGTGCACCCACTGCAGTGCAGGCAGGTAGCACTGCATTAGGGACATCACTGGTTGGAGGACTAGACCTGTGAAACTGCGCGCACGGCTCACTGAAATAATCTTCTAATAAATGAAAGTCGAAATATCCTCTAGCTCGTGTGGCCCAAGGTATCTGTTGGTATAAATTGTGACAATCGAGGGTGGGGATTGAACTAGTAAACGTCACACAGAATTACTGGGGTTTTGGACTTTTTCCATTGTCCGGAATTTTAGGTAATAGAAGACACGACATTTCGGAAACTGGATCTGTTTCCGCCTTTAGGTGAGAAAGGAAGACGCCTGAAGACGGAAACAGGTCCAGTTTCAGAAACGTCGTGTCCTCTATTACCTAGAATTCCGGAGGATGGATAAAGTCCGAAACCCCAGTAATTCTGTGTGTCATCCATCGTCAGAATCCTTTAGAATCTAGCAGCTAGTAAACGTCAGTCACGTGATCTTAGTTTGTCTCCATTTGAAACCTTGGCCGATAGCGGTTCTTCTTAAAGTTTTTTAATCTATCCAGAGCAGTGTAGCCAACTCATATATGAAACACTGAACAAAACTCCCTACTGTGAGAGATCCTACGTATGAAACGATGTAGTGTTCCTTATAGCAAAAACACAGTCTGCCGAAAACTGCTATTTTTGTGTAAAGCTTGCAGCACATAGGAGGTTGTACTCCTACAATAAATGTTGTTTTGCTTCATGTCGTGCCCACTTAGAAATTTGGTTACATGTTTTCGGTTTTCCTCTTCTTCTTTCTCATTACTCGTAATTTAAAAATAAAGTTCCATATCATTGCATAATTTATGCAGCTGAGAGAACGTTACACAAAGGTAATTGAACGAGATGACATCAGAATTACTGAGGATTTTGGACTTTTTCCATCATGCGGTATTCTAGAGACTAGAAAACACGACTTTTCGGAAACTGGGTCTGTTTCCGTCCTTAGTTGAGGGGGAGACACCTACTCATTTGGATCCCTTAGAAAAAGTTAACCTCGATCACTTAACTCTTGCTAAGGGACCCAGATGAGTAGGCACCTTCCCCTTCACCTGATGACTGTAACAGATCCAGTTTCCGAAACTTCATGTTTCCTAATGTCTACAATACAGGACGATGGAAAAAGCCCAAAAACCCAGTAATTCTGAGTGTTATACACCATCGTCAGAACCCTTTAAAATCTATCTAATCGAGATTAAATCAGTTTGGCTGCGAAGTCTTCTTCGCCACAGAATGGACTATGTGGTTCATGTGTCCCACAACAGATGTTGCTCTGACGTCACACACGAGGGAGCGTACATAAATGTTGGAGACCCCAGAACAAAGAAGAATTAGACAATAGAATTACGCTTAAAGAGAGATGTTTTAGCTGTCGTTAGGAGTTAGCAAATGGAAGAAGGAAAATATTGGATATTCACAAAGAGGAAAGGTGAAGGTTTCTGCTCTGCCGTATACTCGACTGTCATTGAGTCTTAAATTATATTTTAATATCCTGATAACGGTGGATCCGCCGGCAGGGTCAGACCGGTGAACCAGTTCCGCCTCCTCTCAGCGTCATCCTGTGAACAGCGAGCAAACAGCCTCCCTGAGAGCAAGGACAAGAGAGCTTGCCTGAGAATTTGGAAGAAATCGAAATGTACGCTCCATTTTTATTAAATATAGTAGCTACGACACTCTTAGAATGAAGGAAACATTTGGTGGTAACTGAATTATGGTAGTTGATTTGAGCAGAATTTGGAATCCAAATGCCGCCTGAATGCAAACGAATGCGGTGTATTGAATTATATGGCGTACCCAGCGTCTTAGTTCATTTTCACGAGGTAATATCGGCCACAACGTAAATTTATCACTTCCGCCCAGTACCGATGTCAAGCGCCACAATATACAATGTGCTTCGGCACAGGGTACATTTCTTTCTTCTTCCACTAGTTTTTACTTTTTCATGCATTTTATTATGTATATAATATTGGGGTATATTTTGTGCATTTGTTTCGTAACCCGCGGTACTTAACCTGCTCGTTGTTTTATGAAATGTGATTACGTGCTCACTGAGCAATAGACAAAATCCCGATCGCTCTTATACTAATACATACTGTTATCCTGTAATTGTGTGTGTGTGTGTGTGTGTGGGGGGGGGGGAGAACCCGTTTGCTTTGTCTCCGGTTCTGATCAGGTGTATGCAATTTGCCCACGAATTACGTGATGCTTGTGTTCCGAATTGTTATCTAGCAACGCAGAATCACTTAACTCGAATTTTGTTTGGCTTTTTGTTTCGCTACCCTTATTTTTCACTGAAAATTCTGTAACTAGATTGACTTTAATATCACATATCGTTGCCTTTCGCGAAACCCAATTCTTACTTTGGTTTTAGACAATTTAATTAAGCTTCAAAAGCTCTCGAACTTGACTGCAGGTCTTCTCATTTTCGAAAATATTTAAGAAATATTAAATTTATTTCGAAAATTTTAGCATGTTTTTAAAATATCCTGGATAATATTAATTACGACATATTAGCGAGAATCTGGTTCAGTGGACTCCGTTATCGTCTGCTTTGCTGGTGCTAAGCTCTGGTCGTTTCCACAGGTTTCGCTCCCTGCTATAAAATTGCTTCCTTACTGTCACTCTTCAGAGAATCAGACTTCATTAATCAGTGGCCTCTACACTTTCGCCACGAAATCAGAGGAGAGCGAGTTGCTCTCATTGCAGCAGTCAGTCAAGTCTGTTGAAAGCACTTAAATGTTGGTTCCAGTTTCCTGCTCTTTCTTGTCGGTTCTCAGCATTTAAATCTCAAATGATTCAACTATAAGTAAGTTTGCATTAAACGTAATATCTTCAAGCAATGAAGAATCACAACTTCTCCGTCAGTCAGTATAGGATTGGCTTTTAATCTAAATCTAAGTGAAAAAAATAAACAACTTTGTGACCTGTTTTTCTCTTTGAAGTCAATGATCAATGCAATAACTTGTCCCTCCCTCCATAGAAAATATTATTAATGAAAATACTACCATGCGTCCTAATATTTCGGAATTTGAGGTGAAGAGCTAATGGTCCCGCAAGAATATAAACATTAAGGAAAAAAGTAAAAAAGTAAAGCTATTCCTGTAACAGGCCTTGGAGTTCCATATGGTTGTGAGACGTCGAGGCTCCCACATTTTCTAGATTATCGGCTCATAGATGGCTGTGAGGTTGACAGCCTTACACTCCGGCCGCCATTTACCCCGTGAAAGATTCTTGATAGTCATTTGTTATAGGTTCAGTTGATCTCAGAGCCATAGTGCGACTGGAAGGATTAGGTAAATTGAAAAAAATAAAATGACCTCATCAGGAATTGGAAATAAGGAATTATTTTCTAAAGGCTTGTGACCATGACTTATTCATTACACAGAATTTATACTGAACATTGTTTTAGGTTTAGCATACTCAGTGTTAGAGCCTGTCTGTTCCTAATGGGTCTGACAGAGACAGAAGTTGGATGACTGACACGGATCAAGTCTCCAAAACTTGTTTTATAACAGATATACCCGAGACAATAGACAATGCCCGATATAAACTTCATGCAGCAGAATAGGAGAAGTACGACAACGTCGACGTCAGAAGGGAAGGAAGTTTTGGAGCTCCGAAACGTTCAGCTGTGACAGAATTTGGAGTGCAGTGTATCTGTATTGTCTGTGTCGACAGATTCAGTGGTCGTGTACTATGATGGAACGAAATATGTGGGCCTAGTATTTATATCCGAGGAGCTTACTTTATATGAGGCCACGTTTGTTTCCTCCCCTGACCTATTAATTTCACTTTTCATTGTCATTCTCGCTTGCGACTCGACGTTGAATCAAACTTGTCCTTAACAACTTGTTTCTGTATAGAATATAACTTATAAGTGGAATCACCACAACAGAAGTCTTTACCAAACATATTCAACCCACTTCTGATTGTCACAGTCTAGAATCATGGGATGTCATCATCGTGGATGTTCGAGCATAGCTAAATAATTAATGATTGTAAATGAGTCCTCCTTACCTAGGGGTCGGA